ATCGTAACATTATTGATTTTTTCCATGTTAGTAGAAATTGGTATTGAACTTCAAATTTTATTTGTTAGAGGTTAAACGTACTTTGGCCCCCCCCCAAAGTCATAATCCTGGATCCGTCCTTGCTCCCGAGGATCGAATCTCTCTCTCATCCTTTATCCGCAGTCCCGCCAGACGGTGGAGTTGTCTCTGTCTTCTCTATACTCTCCGACGATCTCAACTTTGTGTTCCTTATATGGTTTTATTTGTGCACGTATTTTTTATTTTATGATAACAGGAAAGTTGAATTTGTAAAAACATTTAATCTAAAAAGTAAGAATTTTGAGCATAGTGAAATTAACACCACAAACATTTAGTTTTGATTTATGAACACAGTCAAATTAACACCACATTCATTGAACACAATCAAATTAACTCTAAACATTTACTTTGCTTATGTTAATTTTGGTGAGTGTGAAGTCTGAACTTGCTGTTGTACAAATAGAAAACACTGTCAAATTAGTTTTGATTTGTGAAAATGGACTAGTATAATATGGTGTATAATATGGACAAGTAGAAAGATGATATGAACTACCCTTGCATTCCTAAAAATGGACAAGTATGAAGATGATATATTACAGTTAAGACATACAAAGCAACAAGTCCACAGTTGTAGCAGCAGCATGAACAGCACTTTGGTAGCACCAAATCATCTATAATGTAAATCCAGTCCAAATTACAGTCCAAAATTCATCAACCAATTACAGTCCAGATTTGGGAAAGAGGGAACTGCAAAATATTTTCTAAATATTCATAATCTCTGTTTCTTCATCAAACAATGTAAATCCAAAGTTGGGGAGCAGAGTTTACTTAAGAAGAGGAAAGACAGAGAGGGAGAAGCTTAGATGCCGATTGCCGGAGGAGGTAGAAGACGCCGGACGGTGGAGGAGGGCGAACACGTCGGACGATGGAGGAGAGATCTGCAAATGCCGAAGAGCGAGAGAGGGAGAAGAAGCGAAGATGCCGATCGCCGAAGAAGACAGAAGGCGTCGGACGGTGGAGGAGGGAAAAGACACCGGACAGTGGAGGAGAGGGACGACGTCCACCGTCCGGCGGAGGACGGACCTAGAGCTGGAATAGAGCCTCAAATGGAACATCAAAACACATCTAGAGCCTCTGTGTGGGAAGATGTCGATTTTTCTTTTTCTTTTTTTCACACACGCACTGTATATGCAAATGGTTTTCAAATTCCCTTCTTAGGCCCCGTTTAGGACTTACTTTTTTAGTCAATTAGTCAAAAAGTTATTAAATTAGTCAAAAAGTCAATAACTTATACCAAAAAGTCAAAGATTCTCTTTTCTCTCTACTTTTTGCACATCTTTTCGTAATTAGCCAAAAAGTCATCCCAAACATACAAGTTTTTTTTACCTACCTTTTTAGTCAAATAGCCAAAAAATTATTAAATTAGCCTGTTCCCAAACGAGGCCTTACTTGCCACCTGTTTAGAGCTGCTTATTTAGAGCTCTAAATCAGGTCTGCAATAATTGTATCGATAACAGAGTTTGACCGACAAAAAATAAAAAAATAAAAAATGGACAAGCTCAAAGTTAGGCATATCCTAATCGGTAGCGATTGGTAGCTCGAGAGTTTCGGCTCGAAATTGGCTCGAAAAAGTGAGAGAGAAGGAGGAGGAGGGAGAGGGAGAGGCTGGAGGAGGGCGGAGGAGGAGGAGGATGAGGGACTAGAGGGGGCCGAGGAGGAGGAGGGACTGGAGGGGGCCAACATATCGGGGTGGAGGCGGAGGCGGGGGGCGAAGGCGGAGGAGGGGCGGAGGCTGCGACGACGATCGGCCGATGCGGGGTTGCGACGATCGGGCAGAGGCGACGGCGGAGGGCTGCGACGGACGACCTGCCTCCTCTCTCTCTCTCCCTCTGGTTTCAGACCAGCACGACGAAGAAGAAGAAGAAAAAAAAAAAAAAACAACCCAAAACGACATCGTTTTGGGCTGTCGAGCCGTTCAAGCCACTGTACTTTCGAGCTACCACGCATTTTCCTATCCTAATATGAAGAATTTGTAGAATTTAAAAACAAAAAAATGAATTTGAATTATACATTTGACTATAATCACACTAAAATTATAATAATAATTAATTGATGACTCAAAGTAAATATTCTTTGCCAACGCTAATCTACAAATAGTTTTACACAACTTGACACAATCACACAACAGCAATGATTGAGGACCACAATTTTTGTGGGTCAAATGGCTCGAAATTGCTAAAACGACGTCGTTTTGAGTACAAAATAACTTTAAAATTGTCAAAACGACACAACAGCAATGATTGAGGACCACAATTTTTGTGGGTCAAATGGCTCGAAATTGCTAAAACGACGTCGTTTTGAGTACAAAACAACTTTAAAATTGCCAAAACGATATCGTTTTGACAATTTTGAACCATGTGAGCCACAAAAATTGTGGCCCTCAAACATTTTCCATCACCCAACCATAATCACGTCTTAACGACATTATCTTACCACCATCGCATCACTGTTGTTGCCTCTACTACTCCCATCATTACCACTGCACAATCACTACTACTTGTGCTATATTTGAACACTAACATGTTAAGTTATCGTTTGGTATAGTTTATTTTTTTGAGTTAGGATTTTTTTGCCTTGAGATTAAAAAGTTCGTTTGGTTTGATTTTTTTTAATTTTTTTGACTTTTGTAAAAAAAAAAAGTGAAATAATTATGATTTTGATGTGACATTTTACCTTATTAACTTATTTAACCTATTTTATTTTTTGTGTTTTTTTAACCCAACTAAATTAGCTAAAGAAAGGCTAAGAATATAATAATAAATAGTTAGTAACTCAAAATTAATAGTAGATAAATTTATCTTATATGTAACTCACTCACATAATGATAAAGAATTGGTGTTGACAAAAAAATATATGATCAAGAATTGGTAACTTAGATTTAACAGATAAAACTTACCTCCGAATGTATCCCTAAAACTACAAATTTTTGTCTTCTTAATCATCATTTTAGGTAGAAATAGGGGGGTGTGCAGTGAGATTCGGTGTAATTTGAGGATAAAATTATAAATCAAATAGTAAATAACGAATTAGCAAATGACCAAATTGTAATTTAAGCGGTTTTAATTTACTAGTTGATTGAAAAATAATATTAAACAATTATCAAACATTTGCATAATTTATAACACTAATTAGTTTCACATAAGTTTTTCATATATATAACACTAATTTGTAATAAATTTCACATATTAAATTTTTTTCACATTGATTTTGACTTTAATATTTCATTAAAGGTAAAAAAAATATATATATGTATTAAGTATAGTGGGGCATAATGGTTTTGAAAACGGATTATAAATTTTAAGTCGTGGATCCAATTAACCCCGTATTAGCGAGTAAATCAAAATAAATTAGGTAATTTTAACAGATTAAGTGATATTTTGTCCAACCTTAAGTAGAAATAATATTCATTCATGAACCATCTTTCTTATGTAGTGATTGTAAGATGAAAAATACATTACAAACTAATCAATTTTATAAATATTTTTTATTTATTATTACAATATATTATAATAATATAATAGAACTCACATTGTTAAATAAAAGAAAAAATTATTTATAAGTCATATTAGGAGAATTTATTTAATATGAAGTGCTGTGTAGTTTCTTATAGAGTTTTAAGTCCTATTTAGATTAAAAGGTGTTTCACAAGGTCCTATGAATTATAAATAAATGGTATTGGTGTACTATTATACCCTTAATATGTTTCTATATTATAGATTATTCTATCATTCAACCTATTAAGTGTTTGGAGACTTTTACGAAAGTGGAATGTATATGCGTCGTCCGTGGGAGTGAATGTTGCATTGATCTCAAAATCCGGTGGATTTTGAAAATGTTGTTGGTTTGGATGTAGATATGGGTGATGCTGTCATCAAGGTTGGGAGTTGTATTGTTTGTGTTTGTTGATTTGGACTCCAAGTGTTTGAGGGAAGGAGATAAGGTGTTTTGCTTCTGATATGGTTTTCACAATATGTTACAACCATCCAATGACGTGTAATGTTACAATACAGATGTGATTTTTTGCATCTGAATGTCACATCTTATATGATTTTTTGCAATGTTGTAGCCTCTATTGACGTTACATTTAAGTTGTAATGTAAACCTACATCTATAATGTTGGCATGTTTTGTACGTGTTACGTTAGGTTGTATTTGTCTTTGAATTTATGTTGTGACGTTGTTGTATTCAATATTTATGTACATGTCACGTTACATTTCGCAAACTTACTGGGTTTTGTATTTTTTTAATTAAATGTAAAAATGTTGTTGGTTTATGAAAAATAATACATGCGTTCATTGGCACACTTTTATTAGCCTCCAATGATATTACATTTAAGTTGTAATGTTAATCCACATTTACAATGTTGGCATGTTTTGTGCGTGTTACGTTCGGTTGTATTTGTCTTTGAATTTGTGTTGTGACGTCAGTATTTACATACATGTCACGTTACGTTTCGCAAATTTACTAAGTTTTTGATTTTTTAAATTGAATGTGAAAATGTTGCTTATTTGTGTATTTTGAAATTCAAAATTCACATTTATATAGATATGATCTATGGTAACATTCAATTTCCTATATATGATTTTGCCATTATTTATGATATTAACAACTAATATTGAGGGTAAATGTGTATTTTGAAATTCAAATTCACATTCATATAGATATGATTTATAGTAACATTTAATTTCCTATATATGATTTTGTCATTATTTATGATATTAACAAGTAATATTGAGGGTAAATGTGTCAACAAACTTTCCACAGGACTTATGAGAACATAAGTATTTTAGTAAGGCCATATGTAGCATATGTCTTCCTGATAGGATTTATAAATAATTTTTTCTAAATAAAAATATAAAATTTATTAATTTGTCAGGATATTATTTATTTTTTTATTATTTTTTTATTTTTTTGGGTGACCAAGCGAGGAGCAGATGAGAAAATAGCATCCATCTAAGAAGGAGCAGCGAAAGAAGTCCTCTCCACTGTCACATTTCTCTTAAGTATATATAGTTACAAATCAACGATCCTTTTTGATCTTCCCGAGTTTGTGTATTCGTGAATCTAAACACACAGGGCGATAGAAATGTCAAAATCCTCGTCAAGTTTCATCATCAGATACCTCCACCATCACCACCATCGTCACATCCCATCAAAACCCTCACCACCCACATACCCAAATTCCTATAATGGCATCTCACAACTTCTCTCTCATCACCACCCAAATCTCACTCCATGGAGAACCCACTTCTCATCATCATCAATACCAAGAATCTTCCAAAACCCACCAAATCAATTGACCCCACAACCCAATTTGTTGCTCAATAGAAGCTTTCTAGGGTTTAGGTACTTCAGTTTCAAGAATTCAGAACTGGGTACTAAAATTAATGGGAATTTTGCTAAGAATGCTGTCAAGAATCCAACTTCTGCGGTCCGGGATGCGTTTTCGCGGTACCAGGAGGCGGTTGGGTTGCAAATTGAGGCGTTCTGGAAGAGGAATTCTCTGGTGCTTTGGGGTGCAGGAGGGCTTATGGTATGCATTTTGCTGTGGAAGGCTTTGTTTGGGGTAGCCAATATGTTTATTGGGTTATCTGAAGGCATGGCTAAGTATGGGTTTCTCGCTCTTTCCAGTGCTATTGTGGCATTTACAGTGAGTTCTTTTCTGAATTCTTCAATTCCTTTACTGTTGTTGTTTAGTTGAGACTTTTGCTTAAATCTATGTTGTGAGGGTTAAACCAAATCAATTAATTCCATAGGTGATTAATGCATATATGTATTTAAGCAGAATTTAGGGGATAGTAGGATGTTTGATAGATTCATAAATGAAGTACACACTGAGTTTTCGATTGGTTTGTCAAACATGTGGATTGGCCATCTCATTTGCAGGCAAGTACACACAGTGCTTGTGATTTTTATCTCATACATAGAAGCCTTTCACATTTTATTGGAACTAAACCAATGTAGTTTGTTGGAGGATCCTTCATGGAACTTGTAAGTTCTAACAGGAATAGTGATTTAATTTAGCAATGATAAAGACATTGGCAAATAACTTTTTTAGATTAGTAGACAAGTACTATTACTCAACCTTGTTTTCATCTGAGTAAATTACAGTTATTCAGGAGTGTATTGCTTATCTTCTTGTTGGTCTTGCTGGCAAGACAGTAGCAATTTTGTGATCGTAAGCTCAATTTTTGAATTACATTTGCTAAAACAGTGGCTTTGTTCTTAACTAGTGCAGTCAAAATCCATTAGCTGGTATTGTGTGAATTGTGATTGTGTAGATCCATCTGCTGATCTTTCTTTCTGCTTCCTTATTTTGATTATTTTCTTGTTTAAGTGGATATTTGATTATTGGCATGCTATGATCTAAATTTTCACAATGCTTTGCTTAATTAAAGAATGTTGATTGTATTTGTTTGTCCCAACTACATTAAGAGGCTCAGCCAATGGTTTTTGGCGCAGCTAATAGGAAACAAGTTTCTTTAATTGCAATTTCTTCCTGTTAAGAGAGTTATCATATAAATCACCATAATTAATTATAACAGGAAAATAGAATATGTGCAAACTCCGCAATATGCTGCTGGTGACTTTGTTGTTTCTTAGAAATAGTGAGACCAACAAGCCCTAATGAGATGTTTCACATTTGTATTTATACTTTAAATTACCAGATATGATCAAATCTCATGAATAATGGTGGGACCAAGGTTTTGAAAAGCGGTTGCGGTCGCTGTAACGGTGGCTGTTGCGGTTGCGGGGTGTACAGGCCGTAGCGTAACGGTTGCAGTAACCGGAACCGTGAATTTTTTTATTTTTCGCACAATTTGAAAAAAACTTACCGATACGCATATTTTTTTTCCATAATCATATTTATTAGGTTTTAAAATAAATATTGATCAATTTTTATAAATTTTTAAGTATGATTCAATATATTTCATATTTTTAAATCATTATAAACTGAGTTTTTTACATTTTATTTTACTAATTAAAGACTTTATATGTCCTAAATCCATATTACACTTGTGGTAAAAAAAAAAATTATTGGAGTTAGACGTATAAATTTATTTTTTAATTATTATACTTGTAGAAGCATATGCAAATTTTAACTTGAATAGTTTTTAAAAAATAAATTAGACATGCTAATATAATCATATAAAAATTAAAAAATAAATTATAAAGAATTTTTTTTGGGGGGGTTTGGATCAGTTGAATATTCATTCTCTTTTTAGATAACCTGTAAATAAAAATAAAATAAACTAATAAAAATTGACATGTGTAAAATATCTATTAATATATAATTATAGGTGTTATGTTTTCTAGATATTTTATAAAAAAATCAATCACTAATTATTATATATAAGATAAACCAAGACAAAAGTAAGAGAATAAATAAGAGTCTAAATATATATATATATATATATTTTAATCAAGCCAAATCGATAATGACCACATTATTATTATGATTTTCAAATAATATATAGATAGATACATACAAACAAAATGGTTGACTGATAGTAGCTGAATAGAATATCATAGGTCTTACAGCTTCAACAAATCAATAACATATTATTCATCTTCCCTCTTCTCTCTCTATCCCCTTTTCCCTATTTTTAGTTTTTTTTTATGTTTTTTTTTAAAGAAGCAGTTCGGAACCGTTACGTAACGGTACGTAACAGGCCGTTACGGCACTGTTACGACCGCTATAGCGGCCGTTACGGCCAACACACCTGTGAATCTCAATCACACTGCAAAAGCGGCCGTAACGGGTGGCGGTAACCACCAAAACCGTTACGTAACGGCGTTACGTAACGGTTGCGGCCGCTTTTTAAAACCTTGGGTGGGACTATAATGTTCAATTGATAGGGTTCTTCTTGCTTGTTTTGTTGATCTTTTTTTTTTGCCAATCATCTGAGTTTAAATCCGAGAACCTGAGACATCTGTTGGACACTAATGAAGTCTAGCAGCTCTGGGTGGGCAGCTCCAATTGATTCAATAGTCCTGTAATGGGGGGTTTCGGATCCCCCAAGAGTCCCCCCGGGCAGGCGGCGGCAGCTAGCTGTTAAGATTTAATCATTATGTCAAGTTTGTAATAATTCCAAGAAGCTTGACATCAAGGAGTGCCATTTATGTGACCTGAAATATGGATTTTTTAAAAACCAATACGAGTAGATCATCTATTTTTGGCTTTCTTGCTTTAGGTCAGTGGCCTTTTCTTCCCCCCTTTTCTGTTTTTCATCTGAGGATTTTCATTGTTGTTTGTTGTATTGTTTTATTCTATTTGAAGGGCTTGTATCTCCGTTCAAGATTCACGATCAATCCTGATAAAGTTTATAGAATGGCCATGAGGTGGCTTAATACAAATGCTGGAATTCTTGAGGTTATGGGTGCCCCTCTCACTGGGACTGATCTGAGAGCATATGTGATGTCAGGAGGAGGGATTACGCTCAAGAATTTCAAGCCAGGGCTCAGGAACAAAAGATGTTTTCTTATATTCCCAATACAAGGTTCTGAAAGAAAAGGTCTAGTGAGCGTTGAAGTCAAAAACAAAAAGGGCCAGGTTCACTTTGATACTTGCCACTTTTAAACTTTATATGATGAAGCAAGAATTATTTCTATTATTGAGCAAGTACCCGTGCTAATTTATGTTTCTCTTCTCGAAAAAAATTGGAATGTTATTTTGGGAGTGTTTCTTGAAGTTTAATTTCAGATATGCTTTGTTTAGAATATCGCATTGCAAGCTTTGCCATCTAAAACATACATTGCAGTTGAGGGCTCCTGCTAGTATGATTTTCCACTCAAAACTTACTCCTGTTCAATACACATATCACGTGTCAAGTTTGTAGGAACAAATTAAATGCCTACCATTCACCAACGTTCTTTTGTGGTTGCTTCATTAGTTAACCAATGAGGGGTGTTAGTCACTCCCATCTGAACTTATAAAGGAAAAAAGATGTTGTGGGCTCATTAGATTACCTCTACGTAATATTCAGAAATGAAAAACGCAAAAAAAAAATCATTCTCAAAATTAATCTTACCTTTCATTCCCACCTGATGTAGTCATGGTTAGATGCATCATTCTAGGCATGCAGAGAAGCGATTTTGGTTAGACTTCAAAACAAACACATGCTTATTTTGAAGAATAGGCATGTACTAGTCTTAGGAGGCATGGTTCCTAATGTTATGCTTGGTTCACTTGAATGAAAGTAGAATGGATTATGGAATGCTCATTCCTCGTCCTCCACTTACGGAATGACCGACGGTTCAATTAGCAATGTATTTTTTGTCATTTTTATAGTGAACCGAGCATGAGAATGAATATTGTTTTTTCTTTTCTTTTCTTTTTTTTTTTCACAGTATGATATGAAGTTATTAGCAGTGGACATTCCCATGGCAACAGGGCCAGACCAGCGTATATATATTATTGGGGATGAAGCAGAGTACAGGGTTGGTGGTGGACTGATTTCTGAACTCAGAGATCCTGTTGTGAAAGCGATGGCAGCAGTGAAGGAGTTTGAAGATCACGACAAAAGGGAAGACGAGGAAGATGCTAAAAGAGAACTTCAGGAGGCAGAAAGAAGACACAAGGAAGAAATTGAAAAGCTTGAAAAGGGTAGCTAATGGCGGTGAGATTGTTCACACACATTGTGTTTCTTTGCTGTTCTTGTTTTGTTTTGTTTTCACTGGAGTTGTTTAAAGGAGACCCAAGGCTTTGACTGTGCGAAGATAAAATGTAATGTTACCTTACATCTGTACTAGAGTTGCGAGGGTTACATTTGTTGGGGATAATAGTTTTTCGGTAACTTTAATTTGAAATTAAAGCGGGATTTAACCGCCAGTTGAGGTGGGTCTGAGTGGTTTTGTATTCTTTTAGTGAAAAGATTGCAATACAAAAATAATGAGCTGAAATCATTAAGTTATGAATGAGAATTGTCTCATAAAGTGGGTATCAATTAAGTTGAGCGTAGATTTGGATTTAATCTTGGTTTGGACTGAACTTGTGCTTGTACTAGATTTGGTCTTGGTCTTGGACTTGGACTTTGACTTTGACTTTGACTTAATCTTGAGCTTGGACTAAGCTTTGTTGTGTTAGGTTTAACTTGTGCATGTGTTTAAGAATTGGGCTTATATCGGGTTGTAACCCAACATTAGTATCTATTTTGTAACTCATTTAGTTGGTTTATTCAAACATCATTATGTACATATTTATTTGTATATATAAAGTACATGAGAAATGTAAATTTTTGCAACTCTCATCTTTTGATAATGGAAGTTGATGATCATATTAGTGGTCATAGGTTTTCAACCTCTTTAACTCTAGCCTTAATGGCTAGAGTTGATGGCATTGGTTAATGACATTTGCTGGCCTTATTGATGTATAGCTTTTATGGCTAGGGATTACCCTACTCGTATAAATAGAGGCATTTCTCCTCTAACTTCGTAGGATAATTTTTGGAGAGATTTTTTTGTGGAAAATAGAGATGGTGTTTTGAGATAAAAAGTTGGAAATGTGTGTTTTGCACGAATGAAAATTTTTCCTATATTCTTTTGTTAATCCTTTTTTTTATTCTTGTTAGATAGAGTGCATCCATTGTCAAGTTTGCCGAAACTATTTAGAAGGTATTTTTGCATTAATTGGTTTCGGCCGTCGTATTGTAGGAGATAGACGCCAGCATACCTTCAGCATTCATTGGGAGGTGGTGGTGAATCTATTTTAAAGAAACTGTGATATCACACAAGTTTCGATTTGTTTCTTTTCTTGTCATTTGTTCTTAAATATTTTAAAATTTAGTTTAGGGTAAACTACTAATAGGTCCTAATAGTTTGACTTAATTCTCCTATTAAAAATAAGTCTTGATAAAATTGTCGCCAAAAATAATTTTTTTGTAACTAGTTTTTATATATGTTGCAAAAAATTAACAATTAATGATTTTTTTGTCATGATTTTTATAAATTGTCGCTAAAATTCATAATTAGTGACTTTTTTTATGACAAATTTTTTCCATAGGACTTTTATTAGATAATAAGCCGACTTATTAGGACCTATATAAGTATATCCTTTTAGTTTACCTCGATAAGTTCTTTAGTTATCCATGTTTATAATTTGTTCTATTAGTAATGTAATTTAATTCATTTTTGTATTTTTAGTTGTGTAGTTTATTCTGTATTTCATTCTTTAATAAAAAAAAATTATTTTGTCATTTCTATTTAATTCATGTTATATATTTTTCTTGTATTTTTATGAAAAAATAATAATAATCTTAAAACAGATTCATATTTAATGTTCAAAAATTAATATTTAATTACTAAAACAAAAATTTCATACTACTGTTTCCTGAGAACCTAGGATATATACTGTGCTAGTTCTTTATTTATGTTAATAATAATTGACTTTCTTAAAACAGAATTATATAAATAGTTTTGATAAAACAATTTAGTTTTTTTATTTTATTCTAGTGACTTTTGGAATTAAAATTAATTTAATTTCTTAAGAGTAATTAGATTGCTTTGAGTTGTTTATTTCTAGTAAATTATTCATGTAATTTATTTTATGTTAATTAGTTATTATTATATGAGTTATTTGATTGTTAGAGATTAAGTTGGTAGAAGTTTTATAAAAATAAAATAAGAATTTTATTTCCTAAAATTCTTATTAATTTATTTGATTTTTGATTTTGTTTTGCAACTAATTTTCTATATAGGTTCACCTAAGTACGATTGTAGGATACAAATGAACAACGCAAATTGGTACAAATATATGGGATTATTAATTTGTGATTTGAACAGGATTATCTTTGCATAGAACAAGGAATAAGATTGGACTTTCAGTTTTTTTTTTTTGGACATATTGTGAATTGAAATATTCACTTTAATGTTGAATTTTATTTCGGATTTATTTTGTATATTGTTTTGAAAATTTGGTAACAATTTTGATTTAATTCAATTAATTAAATTATGGAAAAAAATGAAGTGTTGGAATTTGTGTTTTGAAAATTTTAGAAAATTCGTCTTGTCGAGAACTTTCCGACGATATAAAGGACGTTTCGGATGAATCCACACGGTTGTCAAAAAGTTTGGTCGTTTTTGTCATCAAATGATGACGTCTTCATGATTCAGAGATGATGTCAGTGCCATGTAGTAGCTTGGTCAACGGCCATGTCAGTGACATGTGGCAAACCAATCAGCGACACGTCAGTAAGACTGTCATGTTATTAGTAATTTTCAAAAATTGCATTTTGGCCGCTGAATTCAGGATAATTTCATTTTGCCCCCAAAAATTTTAGAACTGCAGTTTGGCCTCTAAATTTTTTTAGTATTTGCATTTTAACCCCTCAAGTATATGATATTTGCAATTTGATCCTTGGAGTTTGTGGTACTTGCAATTTAGCCTTTGGAAGTTTATGAAGTTACGTTTTGACCCCTAAAAAAGTGGAGGAGTATATTCTTGGCTAAACAGGCCATTTCGGATGCAACTGTGAATTATGTTTTTGCAGATTTGGACAATTTTTAATTATAATGGTTTCATTTCAATTTGTAGTAGTTTTAATTTCTAGTTTGTAATAGTTTCATCATAGTGAAAAGAAATGGGGGAATGTAACACCCTCAAAATAAGACATAAGTCCACCATTTATAAGATCCATAAACGTAAAATAAACATTATGGGTATGTTTGGTTTGAGTTTGGGAGATGAGTTTTAGAGATAAAAAGTACGAAAAGTTGTTTGGTTTGGTTTTTTTCAAAAGATGTTTTGGAAAATTATTTTGAGAGAGAGTTTTGAAAAAAGTGATTTGATGTGTATGAGAGAGAGAGATTTGTTTGGAAAACTTATAAACCAAAACTTGTAAACCAAACAAGTTTTGGGAAATTTTTTTGGAAAAATTTGTTTGGTTTGATTACTTTTGAAAACTTATTTATAGAGAATTTTTCCCAAAAATTTTTGGGAAACACAAACCAAACAATATTTTCATGCATCAGAGTTTTCTTTACAAAAGCTATTACATGTAACACTAACTTCTAATAACAAAATGAGTGTCCTACGGGCTTACACATTTCCAAGTCATCACTCGGTTACAACAAAAGAGTCCTAGCTCTATACATAATAAGCCTTTGGCTTGAATATACATTTATCATCAAAACGAATAACAAAATAGAGTCTTCAACTCCAAAACCTCCCAAGCTAAGATCTCAGAGGCAACATATTACCTGTACCTGAAAAATGGTGTCCCAAGTAGGGTGAGCCAAAGCGCAGTAAAAATATGCTAAACAACATATGAGAATTAACTAAAAGATTAGTATCCGATAAATGTTTAACACTAGAAAACCAAATTACACTATTTCCATGACCAATCAACATTGACATCCATATTTCAATTCACTTTCATTTATTTATCCAAATCAGTTCATTAACATGGTTCACTTTTATCCAAACAATTCAAAATGAGACGACAACTCATATCATCAACACTTCAATCATCAACATCATTCAGATGTATATAAGATTTCGGGACTTTCACCCTGGACACTCCGGCCAACTTAATTATCAATGGAGTACATCCCATATCTCCTCCCAAATAATGGAGTTCATCCCCTATCTCTTCCCAAACAATGGAGTATATCCCATTTCTCCTCCCAGACAAAGATACATATGCAATGTATTTAAACACGTTGTCATATACAATGACCAATTAAGTCACATATTCAATATGTTAATCTAACCGTAATATTCAATGACATAATCCAGTTGATTAGTTTCAATTTACCTAATCATCATGCATTTTCTACAACAATCATGGCCATCCTCCACCGATAGCCCAAAACAGATATTTCTAAACAGATAAATAAATCTATCAAACAGATAATTTATTAACTTTTCCATAGATGAGTGATTTATTAATCCAACTACACCATTTATTCATATTTTCCCCCAATCTCATAATTTCCAAACCAATTTCATATTTCCACAATTGATTTTATTAATCATACAAATGATTTATTTAATTCAAATTAGGGCATTCTCCCCATTTTCTCAAATGTTGCACCCAAGGCTAAATTTCACCCAAGTTATACAAACAACCCCATACTCAAGACCTCACATATACATATGGAGTCCAAGGTAGAAAACCCCTATTTCATAATTTCAAATACAAGCCCCACTTCACCCAAAATCCACAAATCCCTAAATCACACCATTTATACAAGATGGCCAACATCTATGTTAAAACCCATATAGGAGAGTAGAATATCCCTACCTCAAAAAGAGAAGATAAGCCAAGCAAGGGATGAACTCCAAAGATGACGAAATCAACTTCTACTTGGATGGAATTGGAGATCTTGAAGAGCTCAATCTTTTTATCAAAGGAAGGAGGGTGAGAAGATCACTAGATCTAGGTCAAAATGTAGAGAGAGAGAGAGAGAGAGAGAGAGAGTATTTTAGAGAGAGAGGCTCTCAACTTAAGGTTTTGGAAAGTTTTAGAGAGAGAAGGTACAGAAAAAGTGATTTAAAAAGTCACTTTCGCGATCTGATATACGTACAGTCCGCTTGAGCGGAGAGTTTGATGCTCGAGCGTCAGACACATAAATTTGACCTGTTCGAGCGCAATAAAGGTCGCTCAAGCGTCAAGACACAACAGCACGACACTATTCGCTCGAGCGCAATGAGACCTGCTCGAGCGTAGAATACACTCGTCTAGTATTTTATAGACTTCAGACAGTCGCTCGAGTGCCAGAAGGGCCGCTAGAGCTCAAACCCGCTCGAGCGTAAGAAACTCCGCTCAAGCGTTAAAAACACTTCTGCAGTATTTTTGTAGACACACAAAGTACTGAATGATTGTAAACCCCGCTCGAGCGGAAGACCAAAATTCTGGGCAACAAGGTTCTAGACCAACTAGCAACCCACCTGTTCTGAACACGCTCAAGACATTCCA